TATTAACACAGTATATTAAAAAAAATATATACATTTAATTTTAGAAAAGATTGAAAAAGTTTTTTCTCTTGTGCTCTCTTCAACATCCATGAGTGATCTGTTTGGCTCGATATCGTTTCACGTCCTAAATATAATTTATTGCATCATTTTCACTCATGATTTATCACAGGGGATGCTTTATTTTTAGAAAATTGTATTTATTATTAAAAATAATGTTTTCCAATACCCTTCTTGAAATTTTAATAAATTTGCAAATATAGAAGATTATTATACATCAAAATTAGTCTAGATAGGGTCTTTATAAGCATCTTTATCCGCTGCAGAATATCATTCTGTGTTTATCTAACTACTACATTTTGTAACAGAATTTCCATAGAAATGATGTGAATGTAACGAGCTGCATTCCTGCAGTCGTACTATGTAACTACTGCGGATGTTTCAAATCGTGAGTGGACAAATTGTATACCTCTGAGTGTACCAGAATTAAGGGTATTATCTTCACTCGTAGAATAAGCATGCAAGTAAATAACTAGTGATAGATAATTATTTCATACATCGCATATGCGATCATTTCCGTATTTTGCATGTACGCTGCATATAAAGCATATATAATATAATTATATTACTATATGTTTAAAATATCATGTAATTACATTTTTAATACTATTGTAAATTGTGATAAAATATTTCGCTGATTCTAATAATTATTCATTAATACAATTTCATTATTCTAACATTCCCTTTATTCAGATTAACAAATGTATAAAATGAGGCTCGAAAGAATCTATCAGTAAAAAATAATAAAAAAGCCCATCAGAGCCTACATCAGCTGTTCGGATGCACAGAAAACACTTTATTTTCGTGCGAATGTAACAAAATCAATATATACGTTTCAACCCTTCCATTTGGGTCCTCTTATCAATATAACATATAAATTTAATTTACATAATTAACGCAAATTTCAAAATGGTGATTTAGCTCGTTCTTCTTTATCCAAATGTCAAATTAGATAAAATAAAACCGGAGTTTTATCTCATTCGTGGATGAAGAAGAACGAGCTAAATTGTCGGGAATCACCATTTTGGAATTTGGGTTAATTATGTAAATTAAATTTATATGTTATATTGATAAGGTTCCAAATGGAAGGGTTGAAACGTATATATTGATTTTGTTACATTCACACGAAAATAAAGTGTTTTCTGTGCATCCGAACAGCTGATGTAGGCTCTGATGGGTTTTTTTATTATTTTTTACTGATTTATTCAGATTGTTTTACAATGTTAGCTTCTAGCATATCTATCGTGAAAAGTTATATTTGAAACTGATATTAAACAAATTTTCTTTTTTATTTAATATTGGCTGAAGAATTTTTTGATAAGAAAAATAAATGTTTATTTTTAATGTTTAATCGAAGATAAATTGAGATAAAAATCGTTTCTAGGATAAAAAAACAAATTTGAACGGTTAGATATTTTGAAGATTCGGATGCTTTTCATGTCAGAATGAAGGACATTTGCATACAGAATTTGTTTTTATATAATTCATCGTATTATGTTATTGTCATATATGTATATACAGTCTATATGTATACAATTATATTTAACTTATTCGACTTATACACAATACAGTTTCTAATAACTACCCAATAGCCTCGAGGACTTTGCGATTCGTGAATAGAATATCTCCAGGAACAAAGAGTTGTGATAACAAGAAATCAATTATTATTGTATGTATATATATATATATATATAACATACATAATATATTTATAACATATATGTATATTATATACATATATGTACATTATATATATTGTTTCCAACATCGATGATCCATTGTTAACAAAATTAAGAAAAATTTCTATAAAATTGTCATCGATTCGTTTTGCCAAAACTTCCGCGGGTTAAAATTAAAGATATAAAAGACATTAAAAAATATCTAAGATAATAAAAGACAAAAAATTTAAACACATAATGGACAATTTTGTACAAGAAGATTAGTTAAAAAATATTTGGGATAAAAATGAAAAGCGCAGAGAAAATTTACAAGTCTCATATAATTTTTAGATGAGGACCTCAATTTATTTTCGCAGTTTATTTCCGCAGTTCGTAAAGACGATCATGAATGCGCAATCATGAAACGACGTATACCTAAGTAATATCTCATAAAATTCGATATCGCAGATTGAGTTTTCCACTCAACATGCTAGCTCGGCTCGACTTATGGGGGTAGTTCAAAGTGAGCTAGGGGATGAGCGGTATTATGAGAAAGCTTTTAAAGGACTTGGTAAGTTTGGTTTCAAGGTGAAAAGCAACGTACTACATAATGCGCAGGAAAAATAACTATTATGGTATAAGATTATGCTAATTAATATCTTTTAATTACTGAAATACCAGAAAGAAAAATAAAACAAATTGTTTTTAAGCTTGAAATACAATTTCTCGATAGAAACTTTACTTTTTTTTAGAAATATTTCATTTATATTATTACAGTTCTGTAATAATTAATTATTGTTACTTTTGCATATTTATTAATTTATATAATGTAGAAAGTACAATCATTATCATTAAATTCCATTCATTTGCATAATTTAATTTATAAGCATGTTGATAAAATTTTGTTTTATAGCGCTAACAGTCTATATCATAAAAATGATAGATTGTTAGCGTTATAAACGTTAATTTTAACTTTCCTAACGCAGCTATTGTATTTACATGCCATTAATGCATATACACAGTTATTATACATATATTTCATGTTGTTGCATTTTGAACTTTTATTTGAAACAAACCTGCTCGCAGATGTTTTCATTAAATGTAGCTTTATAAATTTCCTTCTCAAGGACATTGATCTTGATGAAAATGATAATTGAAATTTTATAGATCGCTAACTTAGATCAGATTCTATTTCTGCTGAATTTGCTCGAAACTGCACGTTATTGTTTAATATTGTTCTTAGCAAGATCTCCACTTCAAAACTTTAATTTCTTTAGTCCATTGTTATTATTCGCTTTACCCATCCCTATTAGCTTTAATAACATAAAGATAAATGAAATTATAAAAACATAAATTAGACAAGTATAAAAAGAGAAAAAATGTTTTAATCGAATAATAAAATGAATTTACTTAAATGAATAAAAACAGATTTGGAACTCCATTATTCTGTAGCTAACTTAGATACTTGGGTAATTGTATATATAATTCTATTTATTAAGTAACAAAAATATGTAAAATATATTAATATATTTTTAAATGTTTTAATATGTTAAATAAAATATATGTAGAACAATTCGATTTGACAATTATAAATGGTAAAAGGACTAAAATTCGATTTAATAAACAAATAAGAGAAAGAACGTATTCCTCATTACGCAATACTGCAGACATTACACTATAAGGATTTCCTCTAAATTACATATCTTTTCGGTTTGTGATTCCGGTATTACATTCTTTATTATGGACATACTTTGTTTGAGATGGTATGTATTCCATATTCGTTGTAGCATTATTATTCCAAAAACGTTCCAGGCATATCGAAGTATATTTGTCCTTCGTTTCAACCGCAGTTGATAGAAAAATCCGACATGGCCTTCGGTAGACTTTTGACTGTCAGCTCACTTTTCTCAATACGCAAAGGTTTCTTCACATTGGGACAAATGAGGTAGAAGCTTTTAGAAAGCTCTGCAAGATAGACATCTTCTGGCATACGGAACATATCCAGAAAGATTCGTCTACCATAAGTTAATGTCTCAATGATTATCTAAGATATCAAAAGAACTTTTGACTGTTTAAGGCGTTATAAAAGTGTAGCACACAAATCGAAAAAAATAATTTATTTTTCAACGCTGTATACAATTTTTATTAAAGCATTGATAATTCAATTGTTATTATTCTAATATTAAATTTTACAGATATATATTGTGTGTATTTTTCATTCCCTATTCTGCATATAATACTTATTTTATGTAAATAAATAACTACAGAATTTTTAGAAATAATCATAATGTTTTTGATATTGTATTTGTATTTGTTTAAAAGTTGATATATGAAAACATATTGGAATATAATTAATTAACCCTTACCGTACAAGTATGGGTCACTATAGTGACCGAGCGATTCCTGTTTGTGCAAGTTTCGTTGAGTCTTTCGGTAATTATAAATTATACTACAATTTATTATTTTCCAAAATGAAGTTCCAGGGAGGAACCCGTTTGCCTACAAATTGATTGCTTACAGCACCTTTTGCCTACAAATCGATTGCCTACATGTGTTATTGCCTACAGCTCGATTGCCTACATGCACTTTTGCGCGCAAATAAAAATTTTAGAAACGGAGTTTCTTTTGTCTACATGTATTATTGCCTACAAGTATTATTACCTACAACTCGAATGTCTACATGCACTTTTGCGCACAAATAAAAATTTTAGAAACGGAATTACTTTTGCCTACATTCTATTATTACCTAATATATTATTGCCTACAGCTCGACTGCCTACATACATTATTGCCTACAGCTCACAATCTTCCACGCAAAGTGAGAGCTACCTCACACCAACAAATGGTTTGGTTAGGGTTAGATTTTTTTGGAAAAATATTCCAAGCGGACACTGTCTACGCTGACACCCCACTGTTCACATGACAGATTTCCTAAAAATATAAATTATTTTCTTACTTAACTTTAATTTTATATTTGTGCGCCAAAGTGTTTGTAAGCAATCGAGCTGTAGACAAAAGTAACTCTGCTTCTAAAAATTTTATTTATGCGTAAAAGTGCATGTAGGCAATAGAGCTGTAGGCAATAATACATGTAGGCAAAAGTAACTCTGTTTCTAAAATTTTTATTTGTGTGCAAAAGTGTATGTAGGCAATCGATCTGTAGGCAATAATACTTGTAGGCAATGATACATGTAGGCAAAAGTAACTCCGTTTCTAAAATTTTTATTTGTGCGCAAAAGTGCAAGTAGGCAATCGAGCTGTAGGGAATAATACATGTAGGCAATCGATTTGTAGGCAAATGAGATGTAGGCAAAAGGTGTTGTAGGCAATCAATTTATAGGCAAAAGGAGCCCTCTCGAAGTTCCGATATTTATTCTAGAAAGTTGAAAGTATGTTAGTGAATTTTTAGAGATTTTTTTTAATCATTCTAAATAGGTAAAAAAAAAACGGACGGATCTAGTGACCCATGTTTGTATGGATGAGGCATCAAATTGTATCTTGTAAGGGTTAATGCAAAATAAACGCATTTTAAATGAAAAGATCATGTTAAAAATCATATTTTATTTATTTTTCGACAATTAATTAAGGACATGTATCATTGGATATTGTATAAGCTAACATATTCCTCAAGAGTTCTGCATAAATTTAAAGTCTCTTCATATGCATTTATATCGGAGTAATATTAATTAAAAACCGATATTTCATATTCCCTACGCTTTAATTTATCCTATAGCTTCAACATCAAATAAAAAAGATTGTTTCTTTTTTATAGAAAATGCTCTTTTATATTTTATTTAACGTGCCATGGTTGAAAACACTTGACGTTAGGCTGTAAATCGTAGTGAAAATGTTATACTTCTCGATTCAATCAAGAAAATTACTGTCGCACGAAGCGGAAACGCTTGGGAGTTACAAAAGCAAACATCCCGGTGCCTGCGAGAGTGGCATTTCGCGCTTATCATGCGGTATTAAAGCAACCCTGACTTTTTCCCGTCTTCGTACCCGTCGTCCTAGTCGCGTATGTGTCACGTACACGCAAAAACTTACGCCGCCGGCCTACCGGGTGCGGCTACGGGCTCATTCGGCCGGAAGTACCGGACATCGGGTGAAATACGATTGGACACCGGCGAACGTACGGCGGATGGGAAGAATGGAGACGCGGGATCGCGGAATATCGGGTAGTTGAGGTTGTAAGGTTGAAAGAGGGAAACTGAAAGAGATATACCTAGATAGATAGAGAGAGAGAGAGAGAGAGAGAGAGAGAGAGAGAGAGAGAGAGAGAGAAACGCGCGGGATCATCTCTATGCACGCAGCGGCACTTGCGTATTTTCCCCTTTTCGCTTTGTTTAACCGGATATGGCAGGTTCAGTCCACAGTTGTTATTTACGTCGGGCAATGAATAACAATGAACAGGAACGTATATTAAACGTATCTATAAATTCCAAAGCGGCGTGACAATTTTCGTTAGGAATGAAACGGTGGAAGATGGGCGCATCGATGGCGGCGACGGCGACAGCGACGGCGACCGCAGTGATGGCGATGAGAGTGCATATGGCGAGAGAGAGAGAGAGAGAGAGAGAGAGAGAGAGAGAGAGAGAGAGAGAGAGTGTATTAAAAACGATCGTTGACGGAACGACGGAGGAACGGACGCAGATAGTGCCCGACCATCCGACCGATCGTTTTCCACGCTCGTTCATTCGCTCATGGTCCTTCGTCCGCGTGTTCACGAGCATTTTCACACGAACGAACGACGCGTGCATGGCATTGTTCGGGCCAGACAAGCGTTCTCGTACGTTCACACCTTTTTCTCTCCTCCTATTTTTCCTCACCTCTGTATAATGTCGAGATTCCTGGGAAAATTGCAGTAATGGAAGAAAGCGCACAGAAAAAATAGGAATCGAGCTCTGGGAGGAAGCCGTTCGAATATTCACAATTAACCGTAAAGATATATATCGTAGTGAAAAAAGCAAAAAAATTATGCCATAATTATACAAATACAACATCGCAGAATGAAATTAACACCGAAATTAGCACAGAATCAAAATGTTAAATAAAAAATAATTATTATATATCGTTATTAGAAATTTTTTAAACGTAATTCAAGTTGACGTTAGAGTGAATATCTATGTATAATTCAACCATACGTTTTCAAAGTTCATAATAATTTTCAGAATGTTTCATGCATGGGAAATAAAAGTGTAGATTCGCGCGATATGGTAAAAAATCTAAAACTATCTGAATTTAAGTTATAAAAAATAATCATTAAAATGATAACGTAAAATGAGATAACTTTGGCCAAAATTTAAAAAAAATGTCTGGACAGCACGCATGTCCAAAGTCAGAACGTTTTTAAGACGTTTTCATAACTTTTAATTATAGGCAGATGGCGAAACCACAACATCACGGGTATAGTTTTCTTTAAATCTTATTCTTCCTTTTTAAAACCTTGGAAAGGTTCTTGGAAAAGAAAAATAAAACATATTGCCCAGATGTCCTGAAGTCTTAAAGTTTATTATTTTTACATTCCTCTATCTCATAAGAGTAGATTTAAATATAACATAATATACTAAAATAAAAATATAATTATTAATACAAATAAAAGCACCTTATAAAAATTTAAAAAATTAGTAATGAATATCCTACCTACCAACTTGCATATATCCTTAAACTATATCTACTTAAAGGATTAAAATGTTTTGGGAAATGTTCCGATTTTACATGCTATTTAGGCATTATTAAAATTTAATTAGATCAAATTTACTTATATTAATTCTTTTACAGTATAAAATTGATTTTAAACAATCTATAATTTATATTATTTATAATAATAAATTCTATGTCCCTTTTTCTAAAAATAAATTCTATGTCTCTTATGATTTAAATATTGTTTAAAATTCTAATACCGTATCGTGATCCATTGCTAATACCAACATTTCGTGAACCTTGCCGTTCACTTCAGGGTAGCGATCATACATGTACATTTATTCCTAGAGCGGAAAATTACTCTTCGTAATAATATTTAAAAGCGCATGTTATTTCGATTATACATCTTCGATGCCTTGATTTTCCTCATATCTTTAAGGCTGTCAGATGCGTGTAAGCCTATAAAAGAACGACCGAGATGTACAGCACTACTAACAGTACTAACTCGTTCGTTCACGTCAAACGTCATAGCCTGCAGTTTGCAACACTGTAACGTTGTACAGATAAACACCGTACTATGATAAGTTTTGTACCGCGTGGTTTCCTGCATTTCTGTTCATAGGCAGAAATTCCTTTCCATGTCGAAACCTTCGCAACATATCAGAGAGAGCGGTCATCTAGCATGCCAAATATATTAGAAATTTTAATAGGTAACTCCTTGATAATATCTAATTTTCTTTCAAAAAAAATCGAGGAATGCCACCATTCTTTTAAAAACTTTCATATCTTCCGTGTGGTCCGTGCGACTGCAAAATATAAAGTAGCTCTCTTGGCGGTTCTGATGTATACTTATTTAATAAATCCCTTACCACCTTTCTTGCTCCCTTTCCGCGATTATGTCCCCACCATCACCTTTTCAGCGTCGAATCCCGTGTGAACGCACGTACTTTCTTAGTACGTACTTATTTTCAAAAAAGTAGTGGTGACCATGAATTTAATGATTATAATAGCGTCAATAATATATACGTATACTGTAAAGGTGATTACTTTTTTCTAGTTTTTACTTTTTTTGTCTTTTATTATTTTAAGAATACACAACAAATAAGAGTTTAAAACCTATAACGGTCGAAGTTGGATCTTAGATGCTTAAATAATTTCTATGTGAATTTATATAATAAATTATGTAGTCACTTTATATTTTTATTTATTTACAGTCATTTTTATTAACAATTATTTTTATTTATTTTTTCAGCACGTTAACATCTTTCGAATAGGATGCCCGATTGAGCATCAAATTATTAAATTGCTTGTTAATTTAATTTGTGATATTACTATAGTAGTTTAATTGCGTCTATAAGCCCGAAAAACCAATTCGGCGCGTAATTCAAATAATTACATATTTAGTAGGGTGGAGTTGGCTAAGGGTACGTATCCACTGAGCGCGTCACGCGTCGCGTCGTCGAAGGAGAGAAAGAGAGGGGTTGTGTATTTATATAATCTTATCTCTTTCTCTCTTTCATGACGCGACGCGTGACGCGCTCAGTGGACACGTACCCTAAGTCGTACCGACGCGACGGTTAAATCGTATCTCCATTGTATTTTCTAGCCGAAATCTTTTTTTTTTAAAGATAATGACACTGATGTGACGCTGGTAATATGGGTTAACAACTATCATTTTTGTTTTGTCTTCGAGTCGTCTGTTTACGAGTGACATTCAAAATTGATTTTGTTCGGTGTCTGATCTAAGTTTTGGTACAATTTACCTAAGTTACCTGTTATCAGTACAAGGTGGGTAATTAAATTATAGCGTTCTTCAAGGTTATAATTGATATTTAAATTCTTTTCGAGTATAGCATAAAATTAGCAAAATGTTTGTAAGTTATGTTGCTATTGGCAAATTTGTAAAAATAGAGGAAGTTGGGTAAATCGTACTTTTCGCTGGTCTTTATATTGCACCGGTACGATTTTCGCAAGTGACGCGAGCAATATGTGGAGGTTACTATTATGATAAAAAAGGACCTACAGTGGACTGGATTCAGTGTGTCAGGTGCTCTAAGTGGTTGCACGAAACCTGTAGTGACAATCCTGACATTTATCAAAACTGTTTAAATAAGCGTTCAAGAAAGTGATTACTTATTAACTATTGAGTCTTTCTATTAAATTTTTCTATTGAGTCTTTCTAGTGAGTTTTTCTATTGAATCTTTTCTATTGTAACGGAAAAATCCGTAATTGATTTCATTTCTAAAATTTATTTTTTCAAAATATCTGAGATTTTAATATTCTGAAATATAGTGCAATGATAGCTTAAATCAATTTAAGTATTGCTTTTTACTTTTTTTGTTTTCTTAAATGAGTTTAAAAAATACAGAGTCTAATTTCTGTTTCTATAATATAGAAAAAATTTTATTATACCTACTTAAATATGTATGCTCAATTTTGTTTATTTTCTCAGTAAACAAACTGACGTTATTTACCGTCATTTTGATGTTATTTTAAAGTCAAAATGACAATAAGTAATGTCAGCTTTCGCTATATTAGAGGTACGATTTAGGAACGAGGTGGTACAATTTAACGATCCGGTCTCCAAATCGTACCAAAAGCTACTTTTTAAAAAATCTAATTTAAACAATAATTTAATGTTTATTTTTGTAAAAATATCGTTTTGTTTTATTGCCAATGAAAGTTTAATGTAAGTACAGAAATATTCTGATCTCTT